GTTTCCTTGAATTATCAATATAGGTAGTGTATGTTTAAACTTTAAATAGATACACGATTACAACACATGAGCCTAAGGGCTGATAACAATACAAGAGATATACATGGGCTTTACAATATATATAAATATATACATGACCAATACGCCCTTGCAGTTTAAGCGGGAGGATAGCATGCGCTTAAACTAGAACAGAAGTCACAAAATAAAGTAGTCGTGAGGCCGTTCGTGAAAAAATATGTGTATTGGTAACGAGAAGGGACATGGAGAACTAGATCTCAGCACATCGACTTTGTCCCAAACAAAATAAATATCAAGCTCTACATATTTCATCCGTTGATGAAGAATTGGGTTTGCGGTCACTTAAATGACATTTGATACCGTCACAATAGATGATGGTGGCTATGCGAATAGGCTATCAACCTCATGAAGAAAGTTGTGTAACAGTTTCAGCAACTACATTGGTGACACTATGATATTTTACATCCGCACCCGAACGTGAGACCGTGTGTTGCCGCTTAGAGGACTATGAGACAAGGTTCTCATTGAGAAACACACAATAACCAGGTGTTGATCTAGGAGTGACTGGGCATCCTTAGTCTACGTCAAAGTAAGCGATGAGGGTCGTGGACGAGGTGACATATAACTGTAGGATGTGATCGAGAGAACACTTTATATAATGCAAGATGCATTTGAGAGCATTGAGGTTCATGCATGTATATGAAAACCTGTTAAGACCGGGCGGCCAAATGTCAAGTATTTAATGCCTCCACAAGTCTACGGTACAAGGATGGGTGCGAGAAAGAAAGAGTCAGTGGTTCCAAGTTTTGATGATGGATCAATTAGAGTCTTGCATGGATTCAATTTTGCATCCTTTCTTGCGAGAGAATTCCTCAACGTATTTTCGTTGAGAGGGGAACATACCTTTTGAAGACTGTGTGAACGAGATGCCAAGAAAATAGTTTAGAGCTCCCAAATGGCTCATTAAAAACTCTTGACCAAGCGATGAGATGATCTTCCATAGGTAGTCGTGGAGGTCGTGAGTATAATGTCGTCCACATATAAGAGTAAGAATGCAAGATCATGTCTATCGTGGTAAATGAACAAAGATGAATCGGTTATGATGTGCTCAAAACCAAGACAAAGAGCATAACCCGCAAAACACTAAAACCACTCCCAAGGTTTTTAGGATGGTACAAATTGTTGTAGATTTACATATGAGCTAAACATCTCGTCGCAATAATGTCTGGTTGTTGACTTTTGTCGTTTGCCATAAATCGAGGTGTATACCTGCTAAAGGAGCTATCAACATTATATTTGTGTTTGAAAAGCCACAAAAAAAACAAACAATATTAACATCAAGGGGTTGAGGTACGAGCGACGAACTGTTTTTAATAAGAGCACTACATTCATTGGACATAGCTTTTTTTCTAATTTGGATTGTTAAACGGGATGTATATGAGATTTGGGATGTGGAGGAATGAAAGAGGTATGAGGATTTAACTAAGTGATGGGTTTGGTGATCCCGAACTTTGCTCGAGTTGTTATCGGGTGACAAGGTGGGGCTGCCAAGGGCAACATGGGATACATGTGTTGAAGATGGGTCAATAGAGGTTGTCAGAGCAGCATCAAAGGCTTTCAGATAGATAACAGGTAGCGGAAGGGGTTGTTGAGAAATGGAAGGGGTTAATGCGGGTGTTGGGGATGAAATTGAGGGTAGATGAGGTGTAGGAGGAAGAACGAAAGTGTGATGGGGGTGGGTAGTGTGAGGACACATGTTATGGGGTTTAGGTAAATGTTATCTCCAAGGAAGTTGTATGACTGGGCTTGGTTGGATACATTGATGCTAAAGGAAAGAAATTCTCGTCAAAAGTTACTTGACGAGAAAGAATGATTTTATTGGTGTGAAGATCGAGGAAACAAAAGTCAAGATGATTGATGGGGTAGTGAAGGAAAATGCAAGGAGTGGATCGTAGGGAGAGTTTATATGGTGGGTGAAGGTATGTGTAGCAAAGGTAACCAAACACACAAGGTGTGTGTAGTCGGGAGGTTTTTGGTATAGTCTTTTGTGACATCTCCAATTTCACGACCATAAAATACCGATTTATTAATGCTTATTTATTTAAAATCAGAGTATCATTTTTGAAAAATAATATTGCGGAATTTGTTCCAAAAAACATGATAATGATATTACCAAAGCATTTCCAAGAAATGAATCTTTTGATCGAGTTGCATTGCAAGGGCGTGCTTATTGTCGCAAAATAAACGTTCAAGGCTCTTCCAGATACGATGAGCTGGCACGCCTTTCTAGAGTATCATTTATAGCATATTGTTGTTAAAAGTGATACCGAAACTCATGCAACATGTTTTATCCAGATACGATGAGTCGTCACGCATTTCTAGAGTATCAAGCTTTATCTATTTGGAAGTTGGGTTCTCAGGCGACACCTTGTCGAGGTGATATCGAAACTCATGCAACATGCTTCAAAAAGCTTTCTCCGGACATCATAGCGGCACCTAGCGGGAAATGCGGACGTTACATGTTTGATGCTAAATTTAGTAAACAATAGACTTGGATGAAAGAAGATTGAGTAGGTGAGTTGTCGTGTAGAGGGCTTCTACCCAATAGGTTGGGGGAAGATGAGATTTAGAATAAGAGGGTACAAATGAAGTTTTTGTGGAACATAGCCTTTGTTATGAACGACCAGTTTGTTGTGATGTTTTTTAACACGAGAAATGAATTTGGATACCGTTGGTGTCAAAAGTTTGACGAATGGTGGAATTGGCGTATTCTCCACCATGATCATATTAAAGAGCGTGAATATATTCGTTGAAATGGGTGCGAACATAAGACTAGAAATGAGCAATTTAGATACGATGCCACTTTTCGTTTTAAAGGATATACACAAAGGTAGAGTGAATAATGGACTAGAAAGATGATATAGTATTTTAGATCACTCAAACTAGAAACGAGGTATATCAATGTAATTAAACAAATGGTGCATTGACAATTTTATTAGATAGTGAAAAAGGAAGATACATATGTTTATCAAGTCGGCATGCTTTACAAAGAAAATTTGATACTTGTTTATTACATGGAATAATTTTATTGGAAAAAACAAAAAACTTCGTCGGGATGGCCGAGTAATTGATGCCACTTCATGGGGCTTGAACAAAGCATTACTTGAGGAAGAGACTTCAAAAGATTATCAAGGTAAAGGTCTTTCGTGTTGTCACATAGAAGAAGAAACCACAATTTGAAGCATTATTTGAGGAAGAGACTTCAAAAGACTATCAAGGTAAAGGTCTTTCGTGCTGTCACATAGAAGAAGAAACCACAATAGTCAAATTGGATGGTGCGATTCTTATCATGAGTATATTGTTGGACCGAAACAAAGATTCTAATAATAATAGAAGTTATAGTTCATGAACCATCTAGAGTTATTCGGGTCTTAAAGACTTTTTTTTTTGGAACGTTAGTGGAGAGCTATGGTTTGGTCAAGAGTCGAGTTAGTGTTGTATGAGGTTAACCATGAAGAAAAAGAAGGTTGTTGGGCCTTGCAATTGTTGAGTCTTCCAAGAGGGACAGATAGGTTGTTACGCGAAGAGCCCATGTTGTTGGAGGTTAAGGCGAACAAGAAGCCTACGGCTGCTAACGTGTGGACTAGGCCGAGGAGCCCATCTGCTAAATCCATTGGGTTGGTGGGTACAATGGTGACAACGCAGGAGACCACAAAGCCCATGATGGTGGCGGGCCGGTAGTGGAGTCCGAGGAAGGTTGTCGTCGGTCTTAAGGGCGTCGATCATTAGGTTGGCGACTGTTGCAATGGTCACAATCATTCCCCTGCTTGGCCAATTGTCTCCACGGTACGATTGTTGTTCACAAGATGGAGTCACATTTTTTGTACGAAGAACCATCGACGACGATGAATGGTCAAGGTGAAATTGTTAAGGGGCCGAGCAAGCAAGTCAAGTTTCTTCTAGGAGCAAGATGGAGCCGACTTGAAGAAAGAATGACAAAGGGGATTGATGATGTATGATGCTAGCCACTTGATTGCATTTTTCAACAATACCATTAATCATGTACATCAGTAAGGTTTTCTCCGGTAACGGTTCATCAATGTTTATTTGAAGGTCGGAGAGAACCTTGAGTTTTTAAAGTAGTCCGTGATAGACATGTCACTAATTTCCAAGAAACGAATCTTGTGATCAAGTTGCATTGCACGGGCATCCTTATTGTCGCAAAATAAACTTTCAAGGCTCTTCCAGATGTGATGAGTTGTCAAGCCTTTCTAGAGTATCATTTATAGCAGGTTGTTAAAAGTGATACCGAAACTCATGCAACATGCTTTATCCGGATACGATAAGCCGTCACGCCTTTCTAGAGTATCAAGCTTTATCTATTCGGAAGTTGGGTTCTCGGGCGGCACCTTGTCGAGTTGATACCGAAACTCATGCAACATGCTTCAAAAAGCTTTCTCCAGACATCATAGTTGAGCTCATTTAGGTCGATATTAATGGGGATGTAGCGTCAAATTTTGGTAATGTCAAAAGGCTTGTCAGTGGCCTCCTTATTGGGCATTTCAGTAGTTATGGTGGAAGTAGATAGGAGAAAGCTGGCTAGGGTTTAGGCCGAGAAAAGGTGGCCGGCCGGTGGGCGAACATATAAGAAAGGGAAGGTTGAGAGATCGAGGGATTAGCTACTGCCTACTGATACCATATAAGTGTATTCGTTTCCTTGAATTGTCAATAGCTTGTGTATGTTTAAATGCATACACGATTACAACACATGGGCCAAAAGGCCGATAACAATACAAGAGATATACATGGGCTTTAATACATAGAAATAGTTTTGAATTAGGTGGTGATTTTGGTATTTTGCTATAAATGTGATCAAATTGTTACGGTGATTACAAAAAAAAATGTCATTTTGGTAAATATCCCTAAAATAAACGAGTTATATTAAAAAATACACAAATCAATTTGACTTAATTGTGTGGGATCCACAGTTTCAGTTTCTGAATTCTTTTCGAACATCTTCAAAAGTTATCATTTAGCAAGTTGACAATTTTTACATTACATATACATTGGCATTTACAAAATTATATATATACCCATTCCTTCACAAGCATCAGCAAAAGTGTAACAGAGCAACAAACATACCATGAAAAGACATATGTTGTTAAGCAAAATTAGAAAGAGTCATCAGGCTTCACAAAGTTGTGATATTCCAGTTGAGTCATCTCCCCTCCAGCTTTTGGGTCAAATTGGCATCTATAGAAACTGCACGATTACAACAATTTTAATTCATCAAAAACAAAGTAATCATCATTCCAAAATGAAATATAAATCTGTCAAGAAACTTTAATACCTTCCATCTAAGCCAAGAATCACCACTGTGTTCTTTTGATGACCAAATGCAACAATATACTGAGAGCCTTCAACCAATCGGAACTGAGCCAACGACCACACAGAGCTAAAATACTTGGGGATAACTCCTGCAACATAATTTAATGTCATATTCATGAAACTATAGCGTGTCTTTTTGTCAAAGATTCAAGAACAATGGTTGATTTTTAATGAAAAACCAATGCAACTGTGTACCTTTAATGAGAGCACGAGATGAACTGGTAATGAGGTCTGGATTATCGACAGATGTGATGCTGAAAACATGAATAGTACCCTTATCACTTGAGACTGCTAGCCACTCAGCCGTAGGAGAAAATGCAAGGCTATGTATTTCAGCTCTATCTGCACCCCTCCTTACCTAATTGTTATTAGTAGTATCCCGACCCACCATTAATGAGCATGGTTAAAATCATCAAAGTTGTAATAATTACAAAGACATGTGTAAAATTATCCAGAATCATAAATGAAGTTAACCAAATTAACGCCTACCTCGTGCAACAATGACCCGTCGTGGGTATTGAAGATACGAACCAGAGTTCCCTTGTTGCTGGCTGTGGCAAGCATATTTCCGTTCTGTGATAGAGCGAAGCACGCAATTCTTGAATCATGAGCTAAGATAAACTTTGTTCGCTTCGAAGCGTAATGCTCAACCCTAACTTGACCCTTCCGCAATCCGAGACAAACAAGCACAAAATTACCAGAAGCTTGTGAAACATCGCAAAGGCCCTTGGGATTCGCAAATGTCTCAATCTGTTGCAATAACTTCAAATCCGTGAAATTGTATACGAATATCTTCTGCTCCAAAATCACAATTATCCGATCTCGCCTTAACCGAACTCCACGAACCTCCGATCGAAAAGATAGCTCACCAATGCATCGGCCCTGATGATCATCCCAGATCATAACCTTATTTAGAGGATACTGAGGCTGAGAACCGCCTCCGACTAACGCAAGTATATTGCATCGAAACAGCATCTCCACGATCCCAATACCGCCTCCATTTTCAAAATCCCGACGGAAGATCTCGCGAAAAGGATCGCAATTATATATCCGAAATCCTTGATTAATACCGCACGCAAAACATCCATTATCTTGGTTGAATGAAACGTGAAATAGCGATAGATGTGAAGGAGAAGAATCACGGCTGTGAAAATTGGGGATTTTATGGTTAGAGCTTGGAATTAAGGTCTGTCCATGAACCGGAACCGTAGCCGGAGCAGAATTAGGTTGAGTTGCAGCGTGAATATCTTCTTTTCCATCCTGAATATATGGAATTCGTTGTTGGTTAGAACTCGTTCTGATCGGTGGGAGCCCCGACGAGATACCGCTGTGAAGGTCGCCGGCAAGTGAATTGGTATGTTCTTTGCCTTCTTCTGAACGTGTATTGGCGCTTGTACTAGGGTTAGGGTTAGGGTTTGGCCATTCCGAAGAAGAGAAGGCCGAGACAGTTGCCATTGTAGATGATCCTGAATATTGTTGGATCGTCAGAATTCATCAGAATTTAAATTAATATATTTACATTATTGAACCTTATACATTTAACCGTGTATACTTCAGTCCGTATAAAATGAGGTGGGTTGCAAGATGCAACTCTTGTTTTCGATTTGATGATGCTGGCACCGATACAAATGATGGACCAATATTGCCTACTGTTGATACATTTTTAGTACCATGTTTGATTAAATTGGTTTTTTTTTTAGAAATATAAATCCCATGGAATTTTTGGCACCAAATGATGAACCAATATTGCCTACTGTTGATACATTTTTGGTGAACGGGGTTATCCCCATAACTTTAAGAATATAAAAGCTATGGTTATTTGAATTTGATGTATTTTTATCTATATTTAAAAGACAATAATTATAATATTTAATGAAGTTTTTAAGTTTTTTATTTAAAAAATGTACTAAAAATGAATTTCAATGTTTATTGAGATTGAATGGGGTATGTTAACGTTATGCATTTCATAATCATTTATTCTGCCATTCTACTTGTAGTTTAAAAGTTTATATGCAAACAAATTAGAGTATAGGGATGTAACATATCAACTCGAAAAAGTATAGAGGGCAAGTTGCACTTTACCGGTTATAATAGTAACCCTTGGGTAACGGGATTGACACGTATGAGGAAAAAATGAGGTGTCATTTGCTTTGCTCCCACGCAATGGGATATCGAAAATATTACGTCAATTCGTTCCATCTCGGGCTTGTACCATGTTTTTTGTATTTTTTTAGGACGTCTTAATTTAAATGGAAGCCGGGGTTATTGCGTTATTGGGATTCTTTATTTAAAAAAAGTATATGTTTTCTTTAAATGTTTATTAATTTAATTGGTATTTAAATTAAGTTTTTTAAAAGATAATTTGTATTATTAATTTTAGATGGTATCAAAATATAATAAGCTAATAAATTGTTTTTTTGTGTTTATGTAAAATAACCAAGAAAAACATATTATCTATTTTTTTTAATATATTTTATCTTATGTCAGTTACCTCAAGGAGAAGATAGCCTCTACACATAATCTATGATGCTACTTGTACAAATTTTAATTTGCAACATATATATCACTAGCTCGTTTTCATGCTTCTCTAGCATATAAATGATCCTAAGGCAGATTAATGGTAAATGTCCAACATTATGTGCATTGAGAAGTGACTATGAGCTATGGAATGTGATTAAAATTTAATATATACTTCCGTCATAATCTTTCTTATATTTATTTGATTCTGATTTTAATAGAATAAAATATTAATAGAATTAAGATGAAAGTGATCAAAGGGGTAAAAAGGTATTTTTAACTATTGTCGCACACACATCATAAATTGACTGTTTTTTCGAACGACAATTAACGAAGAAGCAAGCAAAAACTTATAATTACAAATAAATTGACTATTCTTACTGCCCATGATCTTAAACATTAATAATATTGAACATGATATTAGCTAGGCTAACACAAAAGAGGGTAGCCTTTTCCTCTTGCAAATCTTCTATTCTTCCCTCGTCACTTTTAATTAACCAAAATAAAAGAAAAACTAGAAGTGGTATTTTTGAAAATGTATCCAAAGTAAGGTTTATTTTGGTATTTTCGTTTTTATTAACCAAATAAACCTTACTTTGGGGAGCTATGGCTTTTCTTTTAGTTTTCAAAATAAAAGAAAAACTAGAAGTGGTATTTTCGTTTCATGTAAAAAATGTTTTCGTCATATTCGCTCCCGAAAGAAACGAAAACAGTGGATCCAATGGCTTTTGTGTCAAGCCACTGCATCACCTGCTTTTGTTTCTTGTCCTCTACGGGAGACGGGTCTGCAACGAGTGGACCTACAGGCACAATCTTTTTACCAGTAAGAACAGAAAGGTAATCATTGTACTTACCTTCGATCTCCTTGAAAGATTTAACAAGAACGATGCTTGAAGACCGATTGACACACTCCATTACACGATCTTTATCTTTACGATTATGTGCGGAGCTTTCAAGAATCTCAGACACGTGACCAGACTCGTAGCTACGATAGTAAATCGTCGAGAATGGAAATGGAATGCCAGTGGAGCTGTTCAAGTAAAGATGAAACATGTTGGTAGCCATGGTAACACTTGTGGTGATGAACACCACCGAAGGGATTCCAAGTTCAGAAGCTGCCAACGGAGCCTAGTGTTGAATAAGATCGTAAATGAGCAAATCGGGTTGTAATTCTTCCAAGATTCTTGAAAACTTAGGACTTGCCTTGTCGAAAGCTTTTTTAAGAGTGGGCATAAGATGCAGAGGGAGACCATTGGTGGTGTGAAGGTGTGGTGGTAGATCCGGTAGTTCCCGGAGGTGAAGCTCTATGAACCGAACTGCGAGTGAACCATCGTTTGCTAACGGTTTCTTGATCGAACTGACGTTAGCCGGAGTTGAGCAAAGGTAGATGTCGAAGAGGTTTGTGTTGTTGAGTTTCTTGGCTAGTTCTAGGAAAGGAGAAATATGACCATGGCCTAACCATGGGAACATCAAAACCTTTTGCTTTTTTCCTTGCCTGCTAATCGTCATTTTGTGATCTGAAACCCTGATTCCTATAAGGTGGTTGTTTTGTAGCTTGACTTGGGAGAAGAAGGTGGCGTTATGTAGACAAATTAACGGGTTATTATGGATAGTGCTTAAAATAAGTACGAAGTAAATCCGTTTAAAAAGTTGAATGCAATCTTTATTTATCGTGCATGGTTCACATATCTATATATTTTGATTGAATTTTTTTGGTAATAAAATCTGTACTAAAGAATATATACATGTTATTTGCCTTTGATTTAGTTATGGAAAATATCTTAATTAAGTTATTTGGTATATTGTAATTTGTAAAGGTTTTAGAGGATTGATTTAATTATGGAAAATATTTTAAGTTAATTGATATTTTCTTACAATATTTTTGATGTTGTGAATAATTTATTCTTAACATTTGATACATAATAATGATTTTGACTTTTGAAGATAAATTGATTCATTAAATGAGGCCATAGTTGTCTTGTTTCATGAAAGTATAATCATTGTTTTGATGTTCGATTTTCAATTTTAAATGTCACTAAATCATTAACCATGTATCAAAAACATTAGAACATGTTTTGGTCTTATATCAAGTACACGGGACCTTTTTCCATTGCAACTCTAGCATCGTCCAAGCAAGTGCATGATATGGAACTCGTGACCGCCACCACGATGATACAATTAGACTATATTCATCGTAGACTTTTTCTTTATAACGGCAATGAAATATAAAATAAAAGAAATTAAAAAGTTAGCGGGAAGCCAGTATTAGTCGTAATACTTGTACTTAATGCTTTTTTGTCATAGTCTCTTTGTATAGGGTTTGTGTGTAACATTTCATTCTATTTATTGATTTTCTCTCTGCCTCTTTTTGGCATTCGAGAGTTATTCCTTTCTTGGTATCAGAGCGCCTGATCCAATCCTCTTCCTTTTCTCTCTAAAACTCTTCTCCTCCTCCATGGCCGGACCATCTTCTTTTGATTCTCTCCTCTCAATGAACACTTTTCTCCACCTAATCTCCAATCGCCTCACCTCCTCCAATTACCTCATTTGGAGAAATCAACTACTGTCGCTTCTCCAATATCAGAATCTCCTGCCTCTCGTTGATGGCTCCTCCGCTAAGCTGCCTTCCACGATTGTCAAGGAAGGGACCTATGTTCCAAATCCTGAATTAGCAGAGTGGCAATCTGTTGATCAAAGGGCAGTCATACTTCTTCAAGCTTCTCTCTCTGAATAGGCTTTTTCAGAAATTGTTGGGCTCTCTACCGCTAAGGAAATCTGGGATGCCCTAGAAGCCGCCTATAGCAGCTCCTCCGTCGAACGAGTTCAAAACCTTCGAGATCAACTCCGCCAGGTATCAAAAGGCTCTTCCTCTGTCTCCGATTTTGGGCGAAAATTCCGTATAATTTGTGACTAATTGTCGGCCATTGGACACCCTATTGCCGATTCTGATAAAGTCCATTGGTTTTTGCGTGGTCTCGGTGCTCCGTTTGAGACATTCTCTGCCGCCATCCGGGCATCTCGTTCTACTGTGACGTTTCGCGACCTTCTTGCTCAGGCCGAGGGTCACAAATTATTTAAGCAATCCATCCATGGGTATGTCGCTCCTCCGGTGGCTTTCACTGCTCATTCGACCGAATCTCAGCCAAATCGAGGTCGTGGTGGTCGGTATTTTCGTGAGGGTCGAGGTCGTGGGCGTCGTCCCCCGCACTGCCAGCTTTGTCGCACAAATGGCCATTTTGCCAATGCGTGTCCGCAACTTGTCTGGTATGCTTCGCCCACTCCGGGTTCTCTTTCCTCTGAATCGGACGCTGATCTTGCTCGGGCCTTTCATGCCCACTGCCACGTGACCTCATCTGGTCCGGATTGGTATGTCGATTCAGGTGTAACCGATCATATGTCCTCCACCACTGCATCAGTTACAAATCCGGCTCCCTTCCCCGAAATGGCAAGGTTTTCTTTGGAAACGGTACTACTCTTCCCATTTCTCATACAGGGCACGCCTCCTTCAAAGGAGATATCCGTCTTCGGGATGTGTTAGTCGTTCCGCGACTTACTAAAAACCTCTTATCTGTTAGCAAATTAACCCATGATAATTGCCCGGATGTTTTATTTTCTCACCCGCATTTTTACATTCAGGATCGAAAGACGAAACGGGTTCTAGCTCAGGGCCAATGTAGTCATGGTCTTTATGTGCTTTCCACCGGTCCTCAAGCCCTTTTTGCGTCCACCAAAGCTGCGTTGAAAGCTTTTTTTGATTTATGGCATGCTCGTTTAGGGCATGTCTCTTATGACACTATTTCACTTTTAAATAAACAGGGTCAGTTGTTGGTTTCCTCCCTTTTACCTAACCCGTCCATATGTTATTCTTGTCAAATGGCAAAGGCACATCGGTTACCTTTTGTAAACAATGATAAATGTGCTATGAATGTTTTGGATCTTATTCATTGTGATCTTTGGGGTCCATTCCCCGTATGTTCTGTTGATTCTTATCGCTATTATGTATCATTTGTGGATGATTTTTCACGCTTTATGTGGTTTTACCCCCTCAAAACTAAGTCCGGTTTTGTTGATGTATTAGATGTGTTTCTCAAATATGTACAAACTCAATTTAATGCCAAGGTGAAGATTTTTCAAAGTGCTGGTGGCACGGAGTTTCTAAATCACAAAGTCCGGTCCTTACTTGATATTAATGGCACGTTCCATCGCATATCATGTCCTTATACCCCTGCCCAAAATGGTAGGGTGGAGCGCAAGCATCGACATATTGTCGAGACCGGTCTCGCAATGATGTTTCATGGCCATGTTTCCCCTGATTATTAGGTTCATGCGTTTAGCTCAGCGGTGTATATCATAAATCGCCTCCCATCATCTGTCTTACAAAATAAATCTCCATTTGAGTTGCTCTACAACACATCGCCCACATATGCTCATTTTCGCCCTTTCGGGTGTCGGGTTTACCCATATTTACGGGATTATGCGGATCACAAACTATCCCCTCACAGCCTTCCCTGCATTTTCCTTGGTTATTGCTCACAATACAAGGGTTTTCAATGCCTTGAACCATCTACATCGTATTTACATAACCAGGCATGCTAAGTTTGATGAACAATGTTTTCCGCTCCTTAATGACTCCAAGGCTACTCCGACACATTTACTTGCTCTAACAAAATTTTTCGATGCCATGCTACCTGCCCCGGTCTTGCCGACTCCTGCCTCTGATCCGGCGCCATCTCCAAAGCCATGCAGTATTTGTGTTGATCCTGTCCAATCTTCCGCTACCACTGAGCCTGATCCCACCAACGATACAACAGGCTCTTCCTCCGACTCCAGTGATATTGTTTCTGATACAAGTGATGCCCCGACAGATCCAGCTGGTGCTCCTTCTAACTCTGCTGATGATTCTTTTTTGGATCCCCCACCGACAGCATCACCTATGCCGGCTTCACCGGTTCCGCCGTCTGGTTCTTCGGTGCCTATACCGATCCCGAGTCACCCAATGATTACTAGAGCCAAGGCCGATATTTTCAAACTAAAACATCGAGCGGATATGGATAGCTCCATCTCTCATGGGCTTTTTGCAAAGCTTCACACTTCCGCTGATCCAAAAAGGTACAAAGTCGCTGCTCGATCTCCTCATTGGGTCCAAGCCATGGAACGTGAGTTGGATGCTCTCCGGAAAAACAACACCTTTACGTTGGTCCCTCGACCTTCCAATCATAATGTTGTCGGGTGCAAATGGGTGCAAAAGACTTTTGTAAAAGAACGGAAGAAAAGAGAAAAACAATACAAAACAACCCCCAATCTACAAAGAACTATATATATGAAATTATGAATAAATACAATTGCACAAGCAAACCCACCAAAAGAACAAACCGGAAAGAGAAGCAACATGTTTTTATAACTTGTTTTTATTAAACATGTTTGTTTGTAGTCTTGAAACAAAATAACTTGTTTTTATTATATACAATGTATATATGCAAGTAAGATTAAAAAGAGGTTTTGTTTACTAGATTCGGTAGGTTTATCCCAAAGTTAAGTTTAATTAAATAATATCTTAAAAACCGGTTCGAATCGATCGATCATACTGCGAACCAGGGACGATAGTGGTTCAACCGCTACAAAAAAAATTTGATATAGCTACGGAAAAATTTCATAGCAAAAAGCTAAAATTACGTAGCTAAACCTAAATAGCTACAGAATTCGCAACAAAATTTGTCAATGGGATTCCATAGGTATATTTCTTGTAGCAAAATGTTTTACTACGGAAGTATAGTTCTGTATGTGGTCATTGCTACCACGTCTATTCCGTAATAATGTGTTCCGTAGTAACTTTCGTAGCTAAAGGTTTTGTAGCAAATTCCGTAGTTAAAGGTTCCGTAGCAAGTTCTGTAGCTAAAGGTTCCATAGCTATATGTTCCTTAGCAAATTCCGTAGCCATGTATTTTGTAACAAAAAAAAATTAGGTAGCCGCTTTTCATAACAATATCTGTAACATCCCAAAAATTCAGAGAAAATTTTCATTTTTAAATTCATTCCAATCATACGATAATCATATCAAAACAGTCGAGGGTATATCATAGTAAAATATTAGCATAGTACAAAAATCCCAAAATCATGTGATGCCGAAAAACATAGGTGGATGCAGTGCGATTAGATCGGGCCCTTCCCTTTCGAGCTGGAAGTACCTGAAACATAAACTGAAAACCGTAAGCACAAAGCTTAGTGAGCTCCCCCAAAATACCCCATATTATATATATATATATATATATATATATATATATATATATATAACAGTCAAAAATATATTGGGTTTATTTCACCCCCTTCAGTATCTTTCAATCGGTATCGGGTCTATTTCACCATCTTCGGTATCTTTTAACCGGTATTTGGTCTATTTCACCCCCTTCGGTATATTTCAACAGGTACGGGATCTATTTCACCCCTTTGGTATCTTTCAACCGGTATCGAGTCTATTTTACCCCTTACCACTACACATATAATCATAACAA